AGGCCCCAGAAGCGGCTGGCGGTTTCGGGGTTTCCGGCCCGCGCGAGGAAGTCCTTCTCTATGGAGTGAAAAATGGTATTGTGGTAATATTTCGCGCGAATCAACCCCAAAAAGTTGTAACAAACGTGAGGAACCTCATCTGTAAACAGATCTATCGTCAGGTTTCCCAGCGACGTCTGCAGCAGCACCGCCATTGCGGTGTATCGACACCTCAGCGACTACTTGCAACACTGCCTGCCGGCAAAACCCGCCCGATCTTCCGGGAATTTAAACCGGAAAAACAAAATAAACTCCAAAAGGTACTTTTAAATCCAAAAATTAACTTATTTCTCCGCTTGCCGCTTCAAAAACGCCCAAAATCCAGACAGGTTTCCATCCTTTTCGACAGGATCAGCGGCAGACGCCGGAGCAGGAAACTTCAAACTTCCGGAAACAAAGTTACTTTTTTGTTTCAAATTCCTTTCTTTTTCTTTTCTTTTCATTTACTCCTTCAAACTCCCCGCGATATTCCCTGCTGCATGCAGGGGGCCCCCAGCCGGTCAGTCGGGGGCCCCCAAAGCAGCCAGCCACTCCAGGAAAGCTTTTTGAATTTTCTCCTCCAGCAGCAAAATGAAGTGAGCCACGCTGCACCATGTCTCGTTTAAGGATTTAGGCTTTTCTTTTTTTCTTCTGGCGCTTTCTCTAGCAGCAGCAGCAGCCATGGAAGCTGCTGCTGCTGCTGCTGCTGCTGCTGGCCCACCCAGCGCTGCAGCAAAAAACCCCAAAGAAGCAAATCCAGATGAAGAACTTGCATGCAGACGCCTCGCAATTCCTGCGCACTTGGGACTTTCCCGCGGAGGCGTCAGCAGCGAATTCGACAGTCCTCAAGGTGCAGCAACAGCATCAGCAGCAGCAACACTGCAGAAGCAGCAGCAGCAACATAGCAGCAGCAGCACCGATGCAACAGTTGTAGCGCTGCAGCAGCAGTAACATCGCGGCAGCAACTGCAGCACGGCAGCACAGCAGCACTAGGGGTTATTGAGTTTAGGAACAACTGCAGCAGCAGCAGCAGCAGCAGCAGCAGCAGCAATTAAGTTCAGCACGTAGAAACTGGAGGCTCCAGCGGTAGCCTCCCACACGAGTTTATCTCAAACAGCAAGATTTAATTTGCCTGCCATCGTTTGTTGCTGCTGCTGCGCTGCTGCTGCTGCTGCTGCTGCGCTGCTGCTGCTGCTGCTGCTGCTGCAGAGGGCCTGGCCATATACGCCGCCTTTTCTGAGGCGGTTTTGGCCTTCGCAGCTGCGGGCAAAATCGACGCGCAGCAAATGGGCTGTTTGCACAGGCTCTTTAAGACGGTCTCTAAACCCTAAACCCTAAACCCTAAACCCTAAACCCTAAACCCTAGCTAGGCCACCTCGTGCTGCAGCAGGTCCCTCCCCAGCTGCAGCGGGCAGCCGCCTCTCAGCCTGCAGCGGGGCAGACAGCAGCGAGCCTGTTGCTGCTGCCGCTGCTGCCGCTGCTGCTGCTGCTGCCGCTGCTGCTGCTGCTGCTGCTGCAGCTGCAGCGGGGGAGTGTGCGTGCGCTGGGGTGTACAGACACTGGAGGAGGAGCTGGGGCAGTGCGTGCGGGGCATTTATTTGTTTGGAAATGAAATAAATAAAAGAAAAAGAAAAAGGGGGGGGGCCCCCTGGGGGGCCCCCCTGTGGCAGCTGCGGGGGGCCCTTGTGGGGTACCAAAAAGAGGGAAAGAAGTTCAAAATAAATGTCAGCAGAGCTTCGCTGCTGACCACTGGTCTCGTGCTGCAGTCCGAGGCCCTCCGCGTCTCCATTCTAGACCCTTCTTAGCTGCTGCTGCTGCTGCTGCTGCTGCTGGCGGCTGCGGCGAGGAAGGAGCTGCTGCAGCAAGGCCTGCGCTGCTGAGCGAGCCAGGTGCTGCTGCAGCAAGGGCTGCGCTGCTGCTGCTGCCGGCTGCAGCGAGCCAGGTGCTGCTGCAGCAAGGGCTGCGCTGCTTCAGCTGGGGGTGCTATGGTGCTGCTGCTGCTGCTGCTGCAGTGAAGGATGCGCTGCTGCAGCAAGAGATGTGATGCTGCAGCAAGGGCCGTGCTGCAGCAGCAGCAGGCGCTCAAACCCTAAACCCTAAACCCTGCGCTGCAGCGTGGGGGCCTCAAGAGGACTTATAAGTGTCTCTTTTTTTAATTTTTTAAACCACTACTATTTTCAAATGTTTTAAGAATAATCGTTCATATGTAATTGTTTATTATCACTTTTATATTTTTTATATTTAATTATTTATAATCATCTTTATATTTATTCATTTGTGCCTTTCAAGCCTTGTATTTCCCCACCCACTCTGCTGCTGGAGCCCAGAGTTGAGCTTATCTCTTGAAGCTTTTTAATTTTAATTAAATAAACTGAATTTAACTTTGAAATTTAAATAATTAAATTCGTAAAGTGTCTTATTTCTGAGAATGGAAAAGCTCCAGAAAGAATTCCAAAAGATTTCCTTGAGCGCGCGCCTTTGGGGTGTACGTACACCTCAGCAGAAGTGCGCTCGTTCGCAGCAAAAACGAAAACGGCTTTTAAATGAAGTTGCAGGCAAATAGATTTAAAAAGTATTTTAAGAAGTTTAAAATATTTAAAATATATTACTTAAATGCTTTATCTTTTAAAATGCATTTGAAGTCCATGTCGCATAATTGCGTTTCTGCATGTTGGCGTGCGGTGTATGTACAGCTCTGCCGGGTTTGCAACCGAAGCAAATGAGTTGCATTTAATTAAATTAAAAGAGTTTAATCTAATCTAATTTAATTGAAAGAAAGTTCAAATAGAATTAACTTGAATTGAAAGAGATTTTTGTTCAATTCAGAGTTCAATTGCGTCTGCGCCGACGGGCAGCAAATTGGAAAACAAAGAGGGAGGGCCTTGCTGCTGCTCTCTGCAGCAGCAGCAGCAGCAGCAGCAGCCCTTTGCTTCCTTCACTTACTCTCCAGCTGCTTCCAGCTGCTGCAGCTCAAACTGCTGCGCCCCACAGGCCCCTGAGAGAGAACTGCCAGGCCTGCGAACGGGTCGGACCCCTCAGCTGCTGCTGCTGCTGCTGCTAAAGCAGGGGGAGCAGCAGCAGCAGATGCAGCAGCAGCACTTGTGCTGCTGCTGCTGCTGCTGCCGTTCCTCCCTGGGGGCCCCTCCCCACGCCGACTGGGGAGGGCCCCCAGCAGATTAGAGAGCCCCGCGAAAGGGTCTTCACCCTGCAGCCAAACACCAAACCCTAAGCCCTAAACCCTAAACCCTAAACCCTAAACCCTCGCAGCCCAGCCGCATTAATTGCATTGAGATGAACTTAATGGACTTATTCATTTAAACAAAAGGACAAAAAGTCAAAACTAACTCCTCACCCCTTTCATACTGCTGTTCGCCGAGCCATTTGGGGTGTATCTACAGTTATCCAGGGGCCTCCGGGGGCCCCTGTTGTTTGCTGCTGCTTCTGCTGATAATGAGTTTCTCTTTCTAAACCCTCAAAAGGGTCTGGAGCAGCAGCAGGAAACAAAGGAAAGGAAGGAGCAGCGGCAGCAGCAGCAGCAGCAGCAGGGGTAGCTAGCTGCCTAGCTGGCCTGAAGAGGGAGACACAACAAACAGACTTGAAACTGTGTGCACTTGCTGCTGATGCTGCTGCTGCTGCTGTTGCTGCTGCTGCTGCTGCTGTTGCTGTTGCTGCTGCTGCTGCTGAGGACGTACGCTGCAGCAGGGGGAGGGACTGCAGCAGCAGCAGCAGCAAGAATGGCCTCCAGCTCTAAGTTGCCGCTTGAGAAAACAGACGAAGACGGGCTAGCTCCGCTGCTGCTGCTGCTGCTGTTGCTGCTGCTGCTGCTCGCTGCTGCTGCAGTGCGCAACGGTCGAGGAGGCAACCGAGCTGACAGCGAAGTAAACAGCTGCTCCACGTCCTCCTGCTCTTGCTGCTGCTGCTGCTGCTGCTGCTGCTGCAGGGCCCCTGGGACCGGAGGGGGTGGTGGGGGTCTGAGCGGCAGCAGCAGGGAGGAGGGTGGGGTTGTTGTTATTGTATTTGCTGCTGCTGCTGCTGCTGCTGCTGCTGTTGCCGCGGAAGCTGACTTGTTTGCTTCCTCGAAAAATGTCTCCTAAGAAAAAGCAGCAGCA